GGAACACAGAACACTAACGCCCACCTTTATTACCTCTAACCATGCTTGGAGAAGTATTAATGCCTCTGGTAGTATTTCCAAGAGTACCTGACACCTTTCCCCCTCCTTGCCAGCAACAGTAAATGCTCCTAGGTTTCACCTTCCTCAAAAATAACACCTTTTTTCCATTACAGACTCTGAATATGCTTCACATGCCTACCAGCTTCCCACTCCATCTTCCCACTCAGCTTTACCATGGATCTATCCCAAACACCTATACCAACTTCCACTTGCTTCATTCACAGCTACTAACAGCATAGTGAATTCTATAATGCTTAATCCATGAAACAATTTACATAAAGCATTACCCAGAGCAGAACAAAATGTAGCAATATATGCATACAAGACAAAATGAATGTGAAAGAACAGGAGAAGCAATAGAGAAAAGCAACTCAGTTCCATCTGAGTACTCCCTAGACAAGCAATCTTTCCTTCGTGCCTGCAAATAGGAAGCAAGCTGACGCAATTGGACTGGAAACACATCTATATCAAGAAGAGCTGTCCAAAGCAACACACTGCCTGCAAGAAATGGGCAAGTCTTGAACATACTGGGTTCCACACATAAGCCTGAGAATTAAATGCAGAAGTCTGAATTTACTTGTGAATAATTTCGATGGTTCCAGTCAACTACTACTTGCACTGAAGCTGTACCCTTTCTTATTGGCCACAGTCAGTGTGAGTCCTAGGTTGGCAAACATCCCTCCCAACTTTTTTCTTCCTTAATGATCAGAACCGATATGAAGAATTACACTTCAGCTCCTCTAGCTGCTCACTACTAACTAGGTAGGCATGGGGGGTGTGCTGCTAGTAGTCTGTGGGCAACAAAAAGGCTCCTTTCCCCATCCTTACTAAACTAGCTGTTCTGAACTGTAGTTAGAAACTTAGGAAACATCCTTGTAAAATGTCTGAAGTCAAGGAAACTGTGACCAGCCTCTTCAAATACAAATTCATAGCAACAAATTAACAGTCCAGCTTGCCCTCATCAAGCCATGCAGCACAGCTGGGCCAGCAGAAGCAGCAAGGGTTGGACAGTATTCCCTAGCGACTCTCCAGCTCAGCGCGGGCCCACAATGCCAAATCCGCTGACTCCCTTTTTCGTTCACAGGCTTTGATCATCCACGCTAACTAGGAGCTGGCTTTTCTTAAACAGGGATCGAGAGGTGAACAAATATTGCTTATCCCAATGACAGCTGGGACCAACCTTAACCAGATACCAGCAATTTACACTTTTGAATGGATCACAAAGACAGGGGAGATGAAGCAAGTGGAACCCTGGGGATGCTGATCTACACATCTGGATCTTTCAAAGCATGAAAACCAAGTATTGAAATACAATTCAAGAGTTTAGAGTTTCTTCATCGTTTGGAGATGACTAAAAAACCCAAATCCAATCTTATGAAGATTCTTTTAAAAAAAGGTTTTGATAGAAGTATTATGCTGTTACCAAATTTGTGTTGGGTAGTTCTTTTCTAAAGGACAAAAAGACATTATTAAGCCAGATGTTTAAGTTACTTTTGTTGGAAAATAGTATTTGAGAAACCATAAGGTTTTTTATCCTTAATTATGATTTATGTAATTTAAAATGCAAGTTCTGAGATCTCTTTTCCTAGCCAAAACTTAGAACTTACAGGCAAAAAAGTCAGAAATACAGCAACAGTCAAGTCAGTACAAAGCAACAGGAATTAATACACACACTTTTTCTCTTCAGCTTTCTGTGAACCATGCTATTAATTTCTATTCTATAGACACCTAAGTGGTTTTGA